AACGAATGTACTGAGAATAACAGCCAAACCATGTATATAAAAGGCAAAATGATTACAAATCAGAAAGTAATTTGATAAATAAGAATTTCCTTAGTATTAGAATAATAGTTTAGCATTAGTTCTAAAATGAGCCAATTATATGCCATAGTATCTTGCTAGATCTTCATATATCTATGTAAGCAGTCAAAGATAACAGTTAATATTTGCTTTGATGATAAGGAGCTAAGAGTACAGTTCCGTTTAGACTCTCGTAGGGAAGCTCTAATAAGAAAATGATTGGTTGGAAGGGATTGATATCAGTACCAAGGCCTCATTATGTCAGAGATTTGGGGAAGGGGTTCTTGCAGAGGAAAAGAGAGGAAAAGAAGAAAATGCCTGAAATGGACTTAGCCATTCAAAATACCTTTCAAAAATTTTCCTCTATATTTTGGGCAGAGAAATTAGGTAGTTGATTTCCTGGATGTTTTCAGCATAAGGAAAAACTCCCAGCAAATTCTCAATTGCATAATTATCCTTTCATACTGGTATAAAGAGCAATGCTAAAATGTTTCCTTACAGAACCCAACCTTCATTATAATTTTGAATTGTTAGATTATATTAGTCATAATTTTAATTTATTATAATTCTAATATAATCTAATTCTAAAAGAAAAGTTCTCTCATAAGGGTTTCTCCTGGGAAATATGAAAAACCAGGGATGCTACAGACCAATGGATATCTCAACTATTGGAGAGATGATTGCACAATGAACGATAAGGTATTAATATATAGTCTTTGCCATTTCATAACTATATAAGTGCAAGAATACATTCCACTTTTAAGTGCTTATCAGAAATTTTTTGGAAATGTTTTAAGAGATAATTATCTTTCATAAAATTAAATGAAAACTGGAAGAAAAAAATAGGAGAATTCCTTGCTCTGGCACTAATTTAACATACTGTAGTTCCTTTTCATTGTTGTTTATATAAAGTTTCTCCATTCAACTACCTCATAATGTAAGCCAGAGAACACAAACTTTTCTGTACAAATAATTTGAAATGGCTTTACCCCAAGAATATACTGAAGAAGTAATTATTTTAAACAAAGGTATTTAATAGAAAACATATTGCTAAAAAAATCAGAAAAGGTCAGATACTTAAATATAAACATTAAAAAAACTGAATTCAGGATTCTTTGCTGGGCAACAGATTCTGCGCTAATTTTTTTCCTTTGTTGCTTTGTTATCAACCAAGCTTTGTTACTGAATACAATTGAATTTACAAAACATTATAAATGTTCAAATATGGTTTTATTCCCAAAGCTGGTGAAGCAGCTGAAGTAACCATGTTTCAAGAATACAGCTGAAGTAACCATGTTTCAAGAATACTGTTATCATCACAAGTTACTCCTTATATGCAGTGGTGGGATCCAAATTTCTTAACAACCTGTTCTGTGAGCGTGGCCTAATTTGTGGGCATGGCCAGGAGTCACATTTCTGGCTGGGCATGGCCATGTGGCCATGTGACTGGCAACACAAATACAAGTGGTCCTCGCTTAATGGTGGATTGTTTAGCAAGTGTTATAATTTACAAATGACCTCCGCAGAGCTACTTGACCTGTTTTTGGATTTTTGACAGCCATACGCGCGCGCGCACACACACACACACACACACACACACACACACACACACACTCCCTTCTTAACCCTGCTATTCTATGATTCTGTAAGGATCTCCTGCTGGAGCAGAGGGTTGGACTAGAAGATGACCTCCGAGATCCCGTCCAGCCCTAGATTGCTATGCTGTTTCAGAGTCTTCTGAAGCCAGGGTTTGGGGCCTTCCTTCCTCTTCTTCTTTTTTCTCTTTTTTTCTCCCTTCCCCCCTCCATGTATCTATCCATTCATATATCTCATTCACTTTCTCCTCCCTCCCTTTTTTTTCTTTCTTTGTCCCTTCCTTCCATCCCTCCCTTTCTTTGTCTATCCCTTTTCTTCCTTTTGCTTCTTTCTTTCTTTCTTTCTTTCTTTCTTTTTCTTTCTTTCTTTCTTTCTTTCTTTCTTTCTTTCTTTCTTTCTTT